AGCGGAATACACTGCATAACGACTCAAAACTAGAGTACTGAGCAAGCACTCAGCATAACAACCCTCTAAAGCGAGGGGAGTGCAATCATCCACCCTTATGGATCAGCATACTCAGTACAAAGACCCTCAGGTGAGGGGAGTACTCGAAAGCTCGACCTGAAGAGCGACTTATCAAGGAGGCCCACAAGAGCCTAACAACCTAACAGCCACAGAGCTCTGTTGAGAAAACACTAGGAACTGTGATCTCAGCATAGCGACCCTTAAAGGGAGGGGAGTGCAAATGCAAACAGTGAGCGCATCCTTATCCCTCGTGAGTCAAACGCATGTGCTTCCGTACACAAGGCTTGAAGACAAAGAAGAGGATGATGTTTTCCGCAGGTGCTCTTTTATACCCGTACTCGCTTTATTGTTTACGTCATAGGCTGCCGCCTGCCAACGTCAAGTTCATTTTCAGTTTCGTTTTTTCATTCATGCTTCAGACACCGGTCACGCTGAAAGCGTTCCCCTAGCACCCTCTAGAGGACGCAGCGTGGAGTTCCCTTTCGAAAGGGAACATACTTTTTTAACTGGCCCAAAGTTATTATTTATTCAAAAGAAGTACCTATTCAGAGAGTATGCAGCGTAAATAATCCAGCACCATTAACTATCTATGTTAGTAGTTCCCAACCATGTTCCAGTTTTTATGTTTCCTTTGTTTGACACACCCCTTTCAGATCTTGGAGCAGAGATGGCCTTATTATTGGGACATACCAAAGTCTGCGCCTCTACCATTGGAGAAAGTGTAACATTCATGTGTGCCTTGATAACCAATCACATCACAGCCTTGACGTCAGTAAGTTTCTGTCAGAGTTGTGTGACAATTAATTACTGTTTGCGGATACCACAGAAATTAATAACAAGTGCCGTAAACTGAATCCTACTTGTCGCGAAATCATCCTTCTCTTAAAAACAGCATTTTTCTGTGTAAAGTCTGAAAATCTCTCCAAAATGAGTGTTTGATGGCAAACATGTTGAAGATGAGCCGAAAGGTTGTTGATTCATTAAATTATATGCTTTTCTCTCACAAAAGCAGTTTATTCAGCAAAATGAAGTGTCTCCTTCAGTAGCTATGTTTCCATCCCCCTGTTTTTATGTGCATTTGTATTGCATCAGAAATGAGTAATGGAAATGCCAAATTAAAAAAAAAAAAAAAAATTCCTTACTTTGCAAAAAAGTTTTTAGGCTCGTTTGAGGTGGGTTTTGACTTGTCTGGAAAAAGATTAATGCGAATAATGAGAGATTGAAATGCCTTCCAGTTTTGGCAGGTTACATGCGCGACGCAGCGAGAGTGAAAAAGCAGACTGGTAATTAATATTGCTATTTAAATATGACAGGCTCGTAACTCCTAATACATGGGAAATACAGTTGCAAATGGACTTTGCTTTTTCATTTGAAATTTGGCAGTCACTGTGCGTTCGCGAAAGCGAAAATGCAAACGGTAATGCAGGATTTGCAATTGCATTTGGACTATGTCACAATTTATGCGTCCACATATTGAAAACGCAATTGAAAATACAATTTGCAATTCTATTTGAAAATTGTCCGGAAAATCGTTCCATACAAACAGCAGCATCCACCTCCGTAAGCAATGGCCGCATATTGTGTTTCGTCTGCTCACTCTGAGGCGCAAGTAATTTATTATATATTAGATTTATTATTATACTCAGGCTTCTCCTACTTTCCTTAGTGATATTTAGTGTCAGTTTATTAGGAATTGGCTATTTTTTTCTCTTTGACTCGTTGGATAGAAACGGTGCTTATTCGCAAACATTTTATGTGATATTCCAATTTTGTGCACAAGTTAAATTCGCAACTTTGGATGGCTATTGACATCCATTAAAAAAAAACACAGCTTTGCTTTGAGTCTCTAATGATCTGATGAGGTGAATCAGTTGTTTGATTAAGGAGACATGCAAAATGTGAACTGATCTAGGTGACACTCCAAAATAGTAGGTGGCAGTATTGCACCTTAATGCTGGTTGCTACTCATCATAAAATTGAAAAAAAAAATGAAGACTCTGTGTGTAGTAAAAGTTAGCTCGCCAGTGTGAAAGTTTTTTTTTTTTTTTTTTTTGATTCCAAAAAAATGACACACACACCAGTCTGCAGGAAGTGTCGATCAACAGTAGGCTAAATTTTTTGTACACGTTTGTACAGTTTTGGTTATAAACTCTCTCTTCACCTCCCCACATTGTATTTTGAGTATGCATCACTGGCCAGAAAGAAGAAAATTCAAAATAAAGTTAAAGGTGAATGTAAGTGATAGCATTTTTTCCAGACATTATATTGGTTTTGTGGAAATATTGTTATTGTGAATTCTTTTGTCCATGATAACTGTGTAGTGCTATACTAGCGCCCCTTGTTGCAAGCCTGAGATTGTGACACATATTTTAATTGCAGGATGACACATTATGTAATGCATAAATGTAAAACTGAATTTGTGTAGTTACAACTTTTGCATTTACATGTGTAATCCCATGTAATACCCATACTGAAAAAGTTTATGCTGTGTGTAGCATTTTAACCTGTGTCACACAAACACTGAAGTTTCCCTGATAGATTTTACTCAAGTTTAAAGAAACCATCTGTGAGCCGATTATCCAACTTTGGAAATGATACAGCAACTCCCTTCCCTACACAAGTGATCATTACAAAACTGCTTCATACTGATCCTCCTGAAATAGAGAACAGGAGATTCAAAGAAGGAACAGGAGATGAACACATTGCATAAAAGCAAAACACACACACACACACACACACACACACACACACACACGCACACAAAACCACCAAGCAAGGTTTGCTATAACATTTATACCTTTTGTCAAGAAGTTTATATACATGCTCTTAAAATTTAATGTGGTCTATTATGCTTCAAGATAACAGCCATCAAAGTTGTATGTGAGTTTACACATGTTAATCATTTTTGGAAAAAAAAGTGTATTTATTTAGCTGAACTGAACTTGTCAAGATCAAATTATCTATTTTAAAGAACTTTTTGACCTTATCTTATTAATTAGGATATCAGGGCAAATGTGTAACTTGAAATTGTTGACTTTCTGCCCACAAAAAATACCAACGTGAATTTTAACAATAAGAAATTAATGTTACTTTGTTGAGCATTTAGATGGAAAGATTTCCATTCATATTTACAGAGGAAGTGCTTAATTGAACCTTTTCTTTACAATAATCACCAGCATCAGTAACAGCCGGTGTTTGCCAACTTCCTGCAACTCCTGAAATAAAAGTTTTGCCGCAAGCACAAGAGACAAGAGGAGACAGACACTCTCTGGCGCACCCACACCTGGTATACGGCCAGTGATATGATAATATGTGCATTTGGTAAAAGTGAATGGAGGCATAAGTCATTTGTGGGTTTCCGGAAGAAGTGTGTGGTTTTACTACACCCGATAAACCTTGTTCTGACCTGCCATGAGTAGGATTAATATTGAATGACAACATACAATTTATACTCTTTTAATGTTCATCTTTGCTCTTTTTAAGCTTCAATTGGCAGCAAACCATTATCTTCTCGACTATTTTCTTGGAAGTGAGGTTTTATATTCAGCTGAAAGATAATGTGAGTGATAAAGCTGTCAAGCTTGAGGTCGAGACACTTCCACAAATGAACTGTAGTGGTCTATAACAATGCTTGGCTACACCTTATTAACAAGTCAAACATATCAAAGCCCATTTGTGAACACAATGAAATATCATTATTCAAAGCATGCTGCTTTTCTGATATGGACGAATAGATAAGAATGTTGAGGTGGACTCTCCTGCCAACATTTCTCTTTAAAGCTCGACTTTGCCATCTCACAGAACATGAGGTGCGATATTTTACCTTGAGCTGTGGGACAATGATCTTCTTATTCAACATGTTGACATTTCAAAATGAATAGTCTGAATGGATATAGACAGTATGTAATTTTTGTTTATATCTTAAAAGCACATGCTTGTTATGTCTGAGACTGACTTCAACGTACTAATACTGCCTAATTGGTCTCTCATTATCTTTGATAACAGTAGAAGGCATATAAAGACATAATCTGACTGTCTGATGATTTTGGCATTCATTCGTGTAAGGAGAACACGCCAGTGTATCACACATGCCTGTGGGTTAAAGGGGGTGATGCAGTTCGTCACGTTCCGTTTCATGACTCAACGCTTTCTCTTCCAGCACTTCAAAAAGGGATCAAGTTATAGAGGGTGTTATAAAAACAGCCGTTTGGAGGCTTTACTGGAAGCCGTGTCAAAAGTAAACTGACTCCATTCATTAAGCCAGTTCTGACTGTCAACTGCACGTAGACACGTTCAAATCCTCCTCATTCTCTTTTTAATTAAGGATGGCTAATCATCAGAGGCGGACAACGTACTCAACTCCATTACTTGAGTGAAAGTACAGATACTGCTGGTCAAACATTACTCCATTACAAGTAAAAGTTGTAAAGACAGATTTTTACTTAAGTAAAAGTACAGAAGTACTTGCTTTTAAAAAGTTAAAGTCATAAGTTCCCAGAAAAAATAATACTCAAGTAAAGTACAGATACTCAAAAAGCGTACTTAAGTACAATACTCAAGTAAATGTACTTAGTTACTGTCCGCCTCTGCTAATCATTGAGTATCTCTGATATGAACACGTACGCTACTTTCACAGTACGTTTAACATACAGCTAGGCTTACATTCACACAACGGTCATTACGGGACATTCACACTGGACGCGTTCTTACAGTATGTTCATAAACTGAGCAACAGAATAAAACAGAACAGGTCTCTAAACACGTTTTTCTTCATCTGTTTTACAGTTTAATTACTTTTAATTTGACATGGTTATTTAAAAACGTAGCCAGATGAGCTTACCGCATAAGTACATCGATACCATCACTCGCTTGAAGCGTATGTGTGTGTAGGCTATAATTTATGCAGGTTAAGTGTAAAAAAGGACGGCCCATCTGCTCACCTGTGCAGGTAAAAGGCTCAACTGGACCGCAGCAACTATTTGTAACAGCGCCGTCAAATAACCCATCTCGAATGCCAAAGCAAGTCTAATGGTAGAAAAATCCAAACAGTAGTCCATCCAAATGGTAATGTCAATATGTAAATTTCACCATAAATTCCACAAAACGGTTCTAGGTGGCAAGTTCGTGCCTTGTCGCGTCGGTAGTAAAATGTGCGTTGCTTTCTCAAAGATATCAAATAAAATGAAACAATCAGGAAAATGCGCTCAACATATTCGCAATGTTGTTATCTTTTTGGTTTCATAAAATATCAGTGGTGACACGTCACTTAATTGCATCCAATCTAGATCTCCCTCGGAAGATGTACGCGAATACCACCGGTAAAATGTTTAAAACAGGTCCTTATGGAGTAAACAGTGTTTTAAATTATAGCTTGCAGGTTTGAATCGTCCTCACGCGCCACTGGAGATCCAGCGTCTGTTTCCTAGTGCAAGATTCCTGCTCACGCATTTCCCAAATAGAGTGGCACACTTCCATATGAGCGCCCTGACTACCTTTCAACAAGTTGATCATTTAAATCTCCTCCTCCCGAAGCATTGCTCATGTTCATACTGTCCTCCCACTGCCCTCCCCTCCATGAACTCACATCTCACACTTTATTTCACTTTTCTCACTGATTATGTGTAGAGCCACATAATAGTAGGGAAAAACTGTGAAAAATGCCCTGTAAAAAGTGGTAACCTACAATTGTTACATTAAGGACTTAGTTCTATTAGATGTAGTTCTATTGGTGTGACGTAATATAGTCTATTTAGGTGGATTCAGTGATGTTAAATAACATTTTGACTTGTTACCCGTGTGGTAACATCTAAATTTGATCCACAAATGATTTTAAGCACATTATTTCATTGTTTTAAACCTTTGTAATAAAATCTCATCTCTAATGATGATATATATATAGGTCATTGCTCTCAATACATAAATGAGATCTTTACAATAAGATTTCATTTGTTAACAACAGTTAATGCATCAACACAAACTTACAAGGAGCAAAATATTCCACAGCACTTATTAACCTTTAGTTCATGAAAATGTTAACGTTCATGTTCACAGTGCATTAACTAATGTTAACAGATCTTAAAAATGTTTTAGTAAATGTTGAGATTCACATGATTTAAGATTAGTGAATTGTATATGTTAACTGCAGTACATTAAAGTTGTAAGGCAAAGTGTTACCCACAAAACATATGAATGAAGCACTTTTTTTGTTCAAAACAATGTAGGCTAACTCTTCTAAATTTTGAGAAAGTTACACAACTAGAAGATATGCTTTACATGCTGTCAGAATTATTGTATTTATGAGTTCCCGACTTGGAAGTTGCATTTATAAAACAGCAATAATATTCAGGAAATTCAAATTCAGATTATATTTTGGCACCTGATTTGAGATTACCAACAGTATAACTTTTTTAAATGGCAAAGGAGGACATTTTCAGTTGTGAATGGTAATTATTATTATTATTATTGTTGTTGTTGTTATTATTAAATAAAGTTATAGCTGCTGCAGTTTCAGTAACATACATTTATTTATATCTGTAACTGTTTGTATATTGTACATTTTTACATGAATAAAAGAGCATATATTGCACAAAATGTCATTATTATCCGTTTCCTAATCTCTCCAGCCATAAAGCGCTTGAATGTGACATATATAGCCATTCTTCCAGCGAACATGTGAAGGCACCAATATTCCACAACCCAGAGGTACACTTTCATCAATACTTTGAATTCATGTTGTCATAATATATATATATATATATATATATATAAAATAAATAGAGTGGCACACTTCCATATGAGCGCCCTGACTACCTTTCAACAAGTTGATCATTTAAATCTCCTCCTCCCGAAGCATTGCTCATGTTCATACTGTCCTCCCACTGCCCTCCCCTCCATGAACTCACATCTCACACTTTATTTCACTTTTCTCACTGATTATGTGTAGAGCCACATAATAGTAGGGAAAAACTGTGAAAAATGCCCTGTAAAAAGTGGTAACCTACAATTGTTACATTAAGGACTTAGTTCTATTAGATGTAGTTCTATTGGTGTGACGTAATATAGTCTATTTAGGTGGATTCAGTGATGTTAAATAACATTTTGACTTGTTACCCGTGTGGTAACATCTAAATTTGATCCACAAATGATTTTAAGCACATTATTTCATTGTTTTAAACCTTTGTAATAAAATCTCATCTCTAATGATGATATATATATAGGTCATTGCTCTCAATACATAAATGAGATCTTTACAATAAGATTTCATTTGTTAACAACAGTTAATGCATCAACACAAACTTACAAGGAGCAAAATATTCCACAGCACTTATTAACCTTTAGTTCATGAAAATGTTAACGTTCATGTTCACAGTGCATTAACTAATGTTAACAGATCTTAAAAATGTTTTAGTAAATGTTGAGATTCACATGATTTAAGATTAGTGAATTGTATATGTTAACTGCAGTACATTAAAGTTGTAAGGCAAAGTGTTACCCACAAAACATATGAATGAAGCACTTTTTTTGTTCAAAACAATGTAGGCTAACTCTTCTAAATTTTGAGAAAGTTACACAACTAGAAGATATGCTTTACATGCTGTCAGAATTATTGTATTTATGAGTTCCCGACTTGGAAGTTGCATTTATAAAACAGCAATAATATTCAGGAAATTCAAATTCAGATTATATTTTGGCACCTGATTTGAGATTACCAACAGTATAACTTTTTTAAATGGCAAAGGAGGACATTTTCAGTTGTGAATGGTAATTATTATTATTATTATTGTTGTTGTTGTTATTATTAAATAAAGTTATAGCTGCTGCAGTTTCAGTAACATACATTTATTTATATCTGTAACTGTTTGTATATTGTACATTTTTACATGAATAAAAGAGCATATATTGCACAAAATGTCATTATTATCCGTTTCCTAATCTCTCCAGCCATAAAGCGCTTGAATGTGACATATATAGCCATTCTTCCAGCGAACATGTGAAGGCACCAATATTCCACAACCCAGAGGTACACTTTCATCAATACTTTGAATTCATGTTGTCATAATATATATATATATATATATATATATATAAAATAAATAAAGGGCAAAGTTACACAGAATAAGGTCCAAATGGTGTTTAGATTTTTTTAAACACCCTCAGTGTTTAAAAAAAGACTGCATTTCCCATTTCATTCTCCCCTCTTCAAGCTGATACTTTCATGCTACAGGTTTGGCCATTTTTATCATGTCATAAAACAATACCCAAACTTTAAAGTATGCATGTTGATGTTGGTCCATTCAGATATGGTTTATGCGGTCAAAAGTAGTATTCTGAGCAAAGCTGTATGGGGTCCACAGTCACTCAGACCAGAAAAAGCACAAGCTCAGAATAGACACCCTGAGAAATAAACAGACTTTCTCTGAGTACACTGTATTATTATAAAGTAGCCTACATTATAGTGAAGCACACTCATAAGAAGACATGTGAGACTGTATTATTGCAATAAATCAGTGATGCATGGAGATGTACTGTTCCATGTTCTCTCACCATGTATGCATGCCTATTTATTAGTGTGTGGTTTAGGGCTGTGTCATGGGTTGAGCCGTAAGGATTCTTTCCTTACTCACACAACGTTTATATACAAGTATGTGGTGTTTGCAGTAGCGCTGGAATGCACAGGCTGGAGATTCTTCAGTTTCACTGCATTCTTCACGCCATGTTGACTGACAGGGCCTCTATGTGCTATTGTAAAGAGCACACTTTGCTAGATGGTGTCAGCAAACAGTGCGAGTTCCGCTGCCTCAGATTACCCCCCCATTCTCACAGCACTTGCTCTTGGGCGCCAACCAAATGGAAAAAGTCCGGAAAGGCTTTGAAAGGCTTTGAAACGAATTATGCTATTTAGTATATCTCAACATGACCATTATCTTTTTTCAAAATAGGGGACATTTGAGTAGTGCCTGTCCGTCTCAATAATGTTTTAGGTTGTCATGCCATTACTAAGTGCTTACTTAGGTTTTCTGGGTAGAGTCTTATGAGGTATACTGATGGAATCTTACTATATTTATAATCAAAAGAGCCAATTTCCACTCTACGATATTCTAGTGCTAACGGTATTGATGTATTTGCCTGTTTTATTGTCTGCCAGGTGAAAATCAATGTCTAATCAATTAGGAAAGTAAAAACACAACTCAAAAAGCTGCACAATTTGAGATATCATTCATGTTTGACGCTGTTATGCATTTAGAACAAATTAGTTCACCCAAATATGAAAATTGTGTCATCGTTTATTCACCTTCATGTTGTTCCAAACACTTCAAATTAAGATATTTGTAATGAAACCTGAGAGTTTTCTGTACCTTCATTGAAAGTCTAGGTTACCAAAACTTAAAAGATCCAAAAAAGCTTATGAAAATGAATATATGAATTCATTTTAAGACAGCTTTATAAGCTTTTTTGAACTTTTTGAAAGTTTTAGTAACCTAAATGAAAAAATTAATGAAAAAATACCCTCTCATGTTTCTTTAAAAACATCCAAATTTGTATTCTGAAGAATAACTAAAGGCTTGGAATAAACTGAGTGTGACTAAATAATAACATGAACCATCCCTTTAACCGTAAGTAATATTAATTTAATTTGAATAATTTTGGCATGCTTTCAATGAAGACAGAACTAGAGTTCTGTTTCTTTTTTCGCAACACCTGTGCTTTTCATTAGACTCACTGCTGAGAGTCGTTGAAAGGTCATTTGTAAAACAGGAAAAGGATGAAAAACTTCTGGATGAAATGTTCCTATCTGCACTCATCATTTTCAATGCTAATATGCTGGTTTTGGAAAATGTAGATCATATAATTAGGATTTGAAATGTGTAGTGTAAACTGCATTTTTGTGAAGATCGGCAAAGGTAGAAAAAACAAAAATCATTCAATCTCTCAATGCATAGTAACAACCCTGTGTTGCTAGAGTAACTGAAGTTGCAATGTTTTTCTATGTGCCGTCTCATCCATATTCACTCACATTTGAATGTGTCTGTTTGGATTGGAAAAATACAGCTTTCAATGTCAGCAGTTTTTTCTTAACTATTTGAAGAATCAATAAGATACCCAGCGCTACAATGTAGGGTGGTGTAAAAACGCAGGCAAGACTTGGAGACAAGCGCAAACTCAAGAAAACCACATTACACTGACGCACTGAACTCTCAGTACAGAAGTCCCTGAGGCAAGATTAATGTCTTTGTCTACTTAAAAGAAAAGCTATAATTGATAATCAATAATGAATCAATTGAAATTTTCTTAAAAGGTATGCTTTCCTTATTATAAGCAATTTATACCTAACAAAAGTAGCTTAAAATATAAAAATGTATGTAAAAAAAAATTTATCAGTGTTTGA